GTAAGGTAATGCGAAAGTGTTAGATAAAATTTTCACACTCTCCAAAGTGGGTTTTGGTGATTTATTATATCCTAACAAAAAGAAAATTGGAAATTATACCAAACAGCCCAACAAAAATTGATGAAATTTAGTGAGGGTCATTATTATCCATATAAGGTGTTTATGAATTTGTTCCGGATTTATGACCTCTGGAAGTATAGTTATGTGATTTATAACCCTTGGTTTCTAGCAATAATTTTTAATAAATCAAAGAAATAATAAGCTTTTGGTATTTTACAGATTATCACATGCATGTGGAGGGCTTTCAAAAGAAAAATGTTTCGAAATTTATTCAGAAGGGAAATAGGGGTATTGAACCCAAACAAATTAGAAATGTTGCATGCAATGGTGCATGAGATATAAATGTGGCTGAAGTTCCATGAATTTATGTAGCCACATTCAGTGGGGTTTTTAAGCCACGAAATTTCAACCATCATTCACTGGATATGTAAGTTCTAAGTATTTTTCCCCAGATTTATGGTTGGGTTTAAGGCCATTGATCATGCAAGGCAAAAATGGTGATCATAGAAAAAGAGCTGTTTGCGCAACCATTTTGTAAAAATTGCCAAAACATCGGATTATTTAATATTGTACAGTGAGACCAGTTGGGTTTGAAAGTTAACTCAGGAATTATCCAATAAAAAAGAATATCATGATTTGGTTAAGAAATGACCGAGATATGGTCGTTCAAGTTGAACAAGGTAATCTGGCAGATTGCATGTTTGCTTTGAGTGCATCCTTAGGACATTTTTTACAAGAACATCATGCATGCCTTTGATAAGGTCCGATTTCTAGCACATGCATGGAGTGAATGAGCATCCAAGATGTACTAGAAATGGTTTAAATGCTTTTGACCATGCAAGAACACAAAAGAAATGGAGAAGAAGATGTAATACTTGTTTTTGAAGTCACATGAACATATGTGCATCATTTTCACTCCTTGCATGAGTTTGATCCCGATTTTCAACCATTTCAAACACATGCATTGTGGTTATGGTGAGAATCTACAAACCACAAGGGAAAATAAAGATTTCTAGCCATGGAAAGGCATAGAATCCGAAAAGAGAGAAACTAAGAAGAAAAGGAAGTAGAATCATGAAACTATGGAAGAAGTGTTGTTGTTTACCTTGGTTTTGATCTTGAGGAAGTAAGAATACTTCAAGGTCTTCAAATCTCGAAATTTGGCAGAGGAATGGGGAGAATTTCGTGAGTTAGAGAGAGAGGGAAGAGAGTTTGTGTGTTAGGAGGGTGGAGTGTGAGAGAGTGAAGAGAGAAGAGGTAGTGTGAAGGTTTAAGCTTAATGATTGAGTTTTGGGAAGAGAGAGGGCATGGGGAGGGGAGAATGGCAGATTTTTGAGTGATTAGGGCCTTCTCTCTCCTCAATTCAAATTTTATAAAATCCCTCCTTAATTTTTTATAAAAACCCTAATTTTATAAAAATATTTATTAAGCAATTCTTGATTTATTTGTAAAAAAATCTTGTTTTTAACTAATAAATTATGATTATTGCATGATAATTTAATTTCTATTTCAATGATTATAATCCATAATTTGATTAATAAAAATTTGATATTAGAAAGTTTATAGCCAAATTTTATAAAGTTTTTAAGCTTTATGATTTATAAATTTGGATTTTTAGCTCTCTTAGGGTTTTTGGAATATTGTTTGATATTCATCATCATAATAAAGTATAATTAGAATATTTTAATTTATTTTTAGGGTTTTATACCCTTTTTCAATTATAACAAAGCTTGAAAGCTTCATTCAAATTATAGCATTGGCATTTCCTATTGTAGTTAAGCAACTTACTAGAATCGTAAGTGTCAAGTATATTAGTCCTAGGTCTTAGATGGATCCTAGTTTATGTAAGATTTTGACCTAATTTATACTACTAGGCCATGGCATGATGTGCATGAATGGTTATTATAAAGATGCATGAGTCCGAGAATGACCTGAATTGACAGTTGTCACACATACTCTATCACTTTTACAAGGAAAATGACTTTTTCCTCAAACAAAACTCTTATGAACTCACCAACTTAATTGTTGACACTTTTCAAAACTACTTGTATTCTCAGGAAATCAGTGAAACAGGAAACCAACAGCATTTTGAGGATGAGACGTTAAATCGTCAAACAGTTCATTTTGTCATCATAATGTAATTGATTTTGAAACATGTAAACATATACTATGGTGTAACCTTTTCAATTATATTTATGATGGTTGTATTTACTTTGAGCACTATTATACTCGTTGTTGTGATACTATACATGAAGTCCTCCACCCCCGGACGTTTCCGCTATCCTTGGTTTGGGGGTGTGACAACACCCGGTAAAAGAAGCTAAAGTAGCAATCTCCACCTGGTTAATCCGTACCCCATAAAGATTTTATTTAGTAAGATTGAGGTTTAGGCCCGACACCAAATAAAAACACCTCAGAATACGAATCAAGTTCTGAATATTAGAGACATCCCAGTCCCCTAGAAAAATCACGTCATCTGCTTAAAACAAATGAGAAATGCGGACCTCATCCGAACCCAATGGAGCACCCCGAAACATCCTTTCAGCAATTGCATCCTCTAAGGCAATATGAAGCCCTTCCATAGCTATGATGAATAAAAAAGGAGAAATGGGGTCTCTTTGTCTAAGACCTTTGAAAAGCTGAAACTCATCAGTAGGACTCCCAATAATCAACACCGAAGATCTAGCATTAGAGCACAAGCCACGAATCCAAGCACTCCATTTCTCACAAAAACCGAGAAACCCCATGACCTTATCCAAATACTCCCAGCTCACAGAATCATAAGCTTTTTCAAAATCAACTTTAAACATCATAAGCTTTTTCTTTTTCTTTTTTAACCACCTCACTAGCTCATTAACCATCAACGGGCCATCAAGAATTTGACGGGACTGGAGAAAAGCCGATTGCTCAGACCCAATAATATCATGAAGAACAGGGGCCAACCTATTAGTCAACAACTTTGCAATAATCTTAAATTGCAACCCAATAAGACTAATAGGCCGATAATCCTTTATATAAAGCGGATTATCGAATTTGGGGATCAAGGTAATAAAGGATGAATTACACCCCTTCGGAAAGACCGGTTTGGAAAAAAATTCTTGCACAAAAGCAATAACATCATCGGCAAGGATCTCCCATAAATATTTGAGAAAACGAAACGTAAAACCATCCAGGCCAGGGGCACGATCAACACCACAATCCCAAACTGCATTTTTAACTCTTTAGCCATGAACCCCACCTCAATAGAAGAAGCAACCCTTGGATCCAAAGACTTGAATCTAGGGCTTCGACGATCGAGTCTAACACCAAGAAAAGGCTGAAACTTACCTGCATAAAAATCGAAAAAAGCCTTCTTAATACTAGCAGGCTCCGAAATCCACTCCCCATCAATAGTAACCCTCTAATCATCAACTGCCTTCTACGTTTTTTCAATAATGCATGAAAGAACGCAGAACTCTCATCTCCCTCCACAGCCCAAGTAGATTTAACCTTTTGAGCAACATCCAGAGATCGGACTTTTTCCAAATTCGCCAAATCTCCAAGAATTCATCTTCTTTCTTGAATAAGGTCATCACTTGCTTCACCATCATCAATAAAGTTATTAGTCTCTACCAATCGCCCCAACAATTGATTTGAAGAAAGATACACAGCCGACTTAGTCTCCGCATTCCAACACCGAATCCTAGCTTTAATAAATTTAAGTTTGTTTTTGAAAACAACAAACTTACTCCAAGACGAGTTACTAAGAAAATCAGCCACAACTCCTTTAACCACATCTGCAAAACCCTCCAAAGAAAGCCAAGAATTGAAGAATTTAAAAGGAGAAGGCCCAAAATCAACCATATTAGAGTGAAGCAAGATAGGGCAGTGATCCGACCATTTCCTATCCAACACTGAGACCTGAAGATGATCAAAACAATCATAAACCGCATCAGAGACCAAGAACCGATCAAGCTTAGTAAGTTAGCACCTATGGCATCAACTCTAGTAAACCGCTTTCCAACCATAGGCACATCAATAAGACCAGCATCTTCAATGAACTCGTTAAAGTACTGAGCAGAAGTAGAGAAAAAAACAGAACCAAACCTTTCACCCGCCTCCCTAACGACATTGAAATCACCTAAAAAGACATAGTTTCCCCCATTCCTTCTCATGAACGCCGAAAGATACCCCCAAAGATGTTGCTTTCCCACTAGATCTTGAGGAGCATAAATATTAACCATAAAACAATTAATATTAAACGGAATCCACAAGCCTCCCAGAATAACCACATTACTAGTACAAGTAACACTAGTTTTGGTAAACACATTCGTATCCCACACAGAATTAATACCACTCGATCGACCCCGAGCACTATTACTAGCAAAATCGAATCTATAATTACCCCACATACTTCGGATCTTGAAAAGATCAACTTGCGTCATTCTCGTTTCTTGCAAACCCAAAAAAGAAACTCCAACCTGTAAACAAAGCGCCTTAACCCAATTTCTTTTTAAAAAAGAACGGGTTCCACATATATTTAAAGAAAGACACTTCATTGATCCACCTGTACCACGCCAATACTAGATAAAATCTTTTTAACCCGTTCCTTATTAGTCTCCATATCATACCCGAGAAGGCCACCCATTTCAAAATATTGCTTCAACACATCTTCTATATCATCAACAACTACCAGGACTTTCTTTTTAAGGATCTTAGAAGATCTGTGAGACGTAGAAGATTGTTCTCGTCTATAACCGGGAGGTTGTGATGGTGATTCGGCTACCCCCTCCCCCTCCACATTATCTACCAAATGGGGCGAATCACCTTGCAACTCACAACCGTTCTCCATAACCGTAGAAGGCATCACCGGATTACATTTATTTTCAGCGACACCTCTCGTGACAGCGACGTTTGGCATACAAGACCCCCCATCCACAGCTCCATCGCCTTTTCTTTTATTATTTGTTTAAAAAACTCTTCCCTTTTCTATCAACAAATCCAACCCCTCTAACACCATTAATAGATGTATTATCCATGCTAAAAGAGTTCTCTTGCCCCTCATCAACCTTATCACCATTCTCTACATCGATAAAATCATTCACATCGTCATCAAAACAAGCAACTTCTTCCTCTCCCCCTGACAGGTCCGGAATATCCGACCCTATTTCTCCATCTTCCATAATATTTGGTTCCCAATTTGAAATTTCACGCACCACCACCCCATATTCAACACCTTGAGCAACCACTTTAATCATATCTTGGATCAAAAAAGGTGTCCCAGTCTTAATACACACACGTTTAACCGCCAAAGGAACATCCACATCCTCTTCAATAAAACAAACCTCATCCCACATAAAAGCCAACTTTTTAACCACAACATCATTCCAAGCACAACATGGTAAACCCACCAACTCCAACCAAATAACACGCTCTTTAACAAAAAAACCATTAACGACCGGTCTAAAAACTGAGAAATAAGCCTTAACCGCCTCAGATTTCTTAAACCATTGTATAGGCAGCTTCCGATACAAAAGAAATATAGACCCAATCACTAGCAACATACTTAATGACAATTTTCGGAAAACCTTCTTCTTTCAAGAGAATACCCAACTTCGGGATCAATTTAATATCCCGTAGCTTGCCAAAAACCGATACTATCGATGACAATGGGTTATCGATCTCATGTCCCTGTAAAGTACATTCAGGAACCAAGCCTTTGTTAAGTTTCACAGCCCCCTGACCTTTTAAGACATTTGCATAGGAACTAGAATGTGCAACAACATGCACATTCATCTTCTTCACCTGCTCAACAGAATTGTGAGAAGCAATCTTCTCCTTTTTATTTGATACTCCCTTGTTACTAACATCTCGATTAAACCGAGCCACATAAGAAAATAAATGATACGATCCCATCCAAATCTCTCTAAGTTTTCGTTCCAACAATAGATCATATTTAACTTTAATAAATCGAACAAGTGTGAATTGCTTACCAAGCTTTGATAGTTTCCTAGCAACATAAACATCAACCACCAGCCCAACCTTATTACATGCCTCCCATAAGGTCTTGACGTTTGCTTCTGGAGGGAAATTAGTCACGAAGAATGGTGTGGAGATACTCTTAATCCTTCTGTGATTCATTGAGACTGAATGCGAATGATGCCCCCGTTCATTACCAACCATCGACAGTCAACAATAAAAACCGAAGAAGACGAGAAGAGAAGGAAAAGAAATCGATGGCGTTTGAACCCGCCGGAACCAACGACACTCACGTCCGAAGTCGCCGGAGACGCAAGGGTTTTATTTCAATTTTTCATAATATTAAAAGTTAATAAATTTTGTGTTGATACATTATTTTTTTATAAGTTTTCAAATAAAACGCATTATTTTTATAAGTTTTAAGATTTGAATGCATGATTTTTTTGTACGAATCTTATTGTTTGAATGAAAGACATAAGTTTTACGCTATAAATGCAAAGTTTTTTTATATAAGTTTTAAGCTACGAATGCATGATTTTTATAAGTTTCAAGCTATGAATGCATGATTTTTTATATAGATTATCATGATTTATTATAAGTTTTAAACTAGGAATGCATGATTTTTATAAGATTTAAATTGTGAATAAATGATTTTTTTTGTACAGTATTTAAGTGCTTCAATGAAAAACATAAATTTTAAATTTTGAATGTTGAATGTTGTAAATAAATGATTTTTTTTTGAAGTTTTATATTTTCTTATGTTATTATTTTATCAAATAATGTTAATTTAGGTTTTAATTTTAGAATATGGTTGTGAATATATAATTTTTGTGATTTAAACTATAAAGTTATTGTATTAAGCTGTGAATTTTGTGTGTTAAACTTAGAATTGATTGTATTAAGAGTTTTAAGTTGATAATATTGTTGTAAACTTATTCTTTTTGTGTATTAAACTGTGAATTTATTGTAACAAGTTGTGAATTTTATGTATTAAACTTTGATTTCTGTGTTTTAAACTGTAAATTAACTATATTAAACTGTGAATTTTTTGTTTAAACTGTGAATTAATTATATTAAATTGTTATTTATGCGTTTTTAAGTCTTTTGAGTTAAAGTTGAGCTTTTGATATACTCCAGAAGCAATGGATGTTAGATCTTAGCTCCCATTGAGGTCCCTTCTTCATATAAATGCAAACTTTATGGAGGATATTGGTCCATGCAAGTATTAAGATCTTTATTAAGCTCCTTTTTGAGCTTTGAGTGCCATTAAGCTATGCATGGGTGTAAAGTTGCCAACTTTACGTGATAAGTTACCTTCTAGAATCAGATCTTAGAGTTTAGCATGTTGTCTTAACTTATTACGTGCTTAATAGAGTGGATTGGTGATCTGGGGAGTATGTTGGGTGTACCTAGCTGGTACGCTGTGCGTACTGGCCCCGGAAGGAGTACACTAAGCGTACGAGCTGAGTACACCCCGTGTGCTCAGCAGATGGACTCTTGGGCTTGACGTTCATGGAATTGGGTCATGTTTTGGACTTTTAAGGTTGGGCCTTGTTGGACCATTAGACTTCTGATTTTGGGCTTTTGCTAGTATATTGGGCTCTCTTGGATTTAGGTCCATGATAGTTTTTGGGCCAAATTAGGAAATTGGGCCACATTGGGCCTTGGTATGCCATTTAACGAATGTGGGCCTTTTAAGTATATGGGTTGGGCCTTGGTTTTAGGCCAAGTAAGAAAAAGGGTAAAATGGTATTTTACCCTGATTATTGGTCAAGTAGCTTAGATTCTTGATTATGGGTCGAGATCCAATTATTAATTGGATATTCATCTGATGATGTTAGTGCGGGGATTTTTTGGACCAGCAGTCTGAGATATATCAGAGAGATACTGCAACTTGAGGTGAGCTACCTCACTGTGTTTAGCGGGTCGAACGCACCAATGTCTACACATGGTTTGTTATGTTAGGATGCTAGATGTCTGCGTGACTCTTGCATATGTTATGTGTTTATATGTTTATCGGGTGGGGCCCGATGACTATTATGTATGCTATTTATCTTTGTGATTATTGCATTTGTTTATATGATTATATGTTTATTTGTTTAGACGTATACCGGGTGGGACCCGATGCCAGGTGGGGCCTGATGACCGACACATCTGTTTACCGAGCGGGGCCTGATGCCGGGCGGGGCCCATTATATGTTTGATATGTATGGTATGTGGTGTCTTGGGGAACTCACTAAGATTTGTGCTTACGGTTTCAGTTTATGTTTCAGGTACCTCAATTTCAAAAGGGAAGAGCTCGGGATGACTGCATTGCACACACCACATTGTTCTGCATTTTATATAACTCTAATGTATTTGGATGTTTATTGACATACTCTGAGTTCACTATGGTTTTTATGATTTTGTTTTGGATAACTGTTTATTTAATATAAAAATCAAAATTTTTGGTTTTAATTTTTGGGACGTTATACATTGGTATCGGAGCCTTAGTTTGAGGGATTCGTGCACACTCTCGAGTGTATCTGAACTCAAACTGAGGGTTTGGTAGATTTTTCAAAAAGAAATGTTTTATAAAAGGTTTTTTCTAATACAAGAAAAAGGGTGTGGTGCATGCAATCGACCGAGCTCAAGTAAGTTTTCCCAAAATACCCATACATGTTTTATGATATGATTTGATTTGTGAATCTATGAATCGCATGCTAGTTAGGGCTAAGGATCTGCTCAGGATTTGCATGATAGAATGCTAGGAGAGATGCCTTTATATGCCTACTGTATGAGCTTGTAGACCTGCATGCTAGTACTGATTAGTCAGTGATAGGATGGCTTGTTTAGGTTATGCTTGTTCCGATTACTCAACGCTCGAATGCTGCTTGCTTTGTGCTTCTTAGGAGTTTCCATTAACCTCAGCTAACTAGTAAGCGAGTATATTAAATTACCTATTGTGGATACTAGATAATTTTAGAAGGTTAGGTTTTAACTCTATTGTGCAACTCTTGTTTGAGTCCAATCATTGTAGTGTCAGACCTTTCATTCGAAGAATTATCTGGTTTTGACGATATGTAATTGTATTCGGAGTTAGTTAGAGGATGTTAGGGGGGAGTTCCTTATGCAGCTAATGGCGGGGAGGAGTGTGGTGGTTTACCCAGGTACATCGGTCCTTTTTCAGGGTTTTGGCCTGGGTGGGTCGGGTTGCTTATCGCCTGGATCTTCCTAAGTTTTTTAGTAAGATCCATAGCGCGTTTCACGTCTCTTAGTTGTGGAAATGTTTGGTGGATGGATTAGCCTGATATGTGAGGCCTTGTAGCCTAAGAGGAAATCGATGTTATGTTAGATTTGTAATCTTTCTTGGTAGGAAGTGATGTTGAGATGTCCTCTGTTTGGTTGTGACTTGGAGTGTTACGCACAAATTTTGCTTGCTTTGTGCTTTATGGGACTCATGATGATGTGACTTAACTATTAAGTGAATATGTTAAGTCACATGTGGCATAGGTTAAATAATCTCGTAGTGACAGATTTGACCCCACTGCATAGCTCTCGTTTGAGTCTAACCGTTGTAGGGATGAATCTTTCACTTGAAGGATTATCTAAGCTTTGATGCATGTGATTGTATTCATGAAGTAGTTGACTGACATTATTGGGAGTTCTTCAGCAGCTGATGGCAGGGTGAGTTCGGGAACCTAGATGATCCTAGGATGTGTTGTAATGGATTTTCCTATGCTGTTTAGCGATGGATATTCATTTTAGAACGGGTGTATAAGAATGGATAGGACGGATGCGGAAAGGAGTGGTTACTTAGAGGACCCGAGATGATTCTTGAGGAAAGTATGGATAGGTGTGGAAGGTAGTATTGGGTCCGTACTACTGGAAGAACAGGATCCATACTTGGCTCGAGGAAAATTTGAGGGATTCTAAGTAACTGGTTAAGAAAGGTGGCACAGTTTGGCACCATGATTCGTTGCGCTGTATTTCCACCTTTATCAGCTTAGCGGGTATGATCGTCTAGGTTGACGATGGGTCAGATGATTGTTTGGGCCTAAGTGGCCATGTCTGTTGGGTTTCAATGGTACAGAAACGTGGAAGGTAGTTGATTCCGAGGTCTGGAGGGCCTTGTTCAAGTAGTGACAATTGAGTCGCTGGACTCAAGAAGGAAGTGAGTGTGATGAATGGCTCGAGGATTGCAGCTGGAGGTCATGTGTTTAGGGGTTAAGTACTTCCAGCTTTTCGTGATCGGAGGAAAGAGAGAGTGGTCATGTGCTTTTCAGGGATGGGATGTAGTCTCGACATGAGTCTAGAAGATTTTGGTTTTCTTGTCGACGGGTATGGCAGCGTAAGAATGCATAAAAGGGTTTTTTGCGGTGTGGTTGCTTTGAGATGAGATCAGTAGTCTGCTTTCTTGAAATTAGTTAGGTCAAGTGCTAGTTGATTGTTTCAGGAACCAAGGGAAGTGAATCATCAACAACAACTTTTATTGTCTCTGATGTATCCTAACAAAGAGATTGATGCTTCTTATAATTATGAGTTCCAAAACTACCACAACAAACCATCCAGTTACCAAAATGCTTACAATTCAAGTTGGAAGCCAAATCCCAATATGAGATACAACCCAAGACCATTGCCTCAAAATGCATTGGTTAGACCTTCTTACCTACCACAATAACCCCATTACCAACATTCACAACCCCATTATCAATCCAAACCACACCCTCCACATCATCACCAACAACCCCCCTCAATCCCAACCAAGTAGCTCCGGAATGTCCCTTGAAGACATTGTCAAGTATCTCGCCAGTAGTACCCAATAATTCCAAAAGGATACAAGAACTAGTGTCTCCAACCTTGAAGCATAAATGGGAGATATAGTTACATCCTTGAGGAAGTTGGAGTCTCGTGGCAAACAACATTCTCAAACCGAAAAGAACCCAAATGTCAATGTGGTGACCTTGAGAAGTGGAAAGCTAACCGGAGAGAGTAGTTCAAAGAAGAAGTCAAGGGAAGATGAGGAAGAAATAGAGATCACTCCCATTGAGGATCCTATTGTCAAGAATGATGCACAAGCCAGAGTTCCAAAGAAAGTTACCCCTCTAGTGACACCAATAGCCACTCAACCACCATTTCCCTCCTGACTTGCAACCTTAAAGAAGAATACAGAGGAGAAAGAG